CGCTACGCCCTCTGTTGTCCTGGTGGGGAATTGCTTTGCGACGCTTCCCCGGAGACGGAGAAGTCAGAGAGTAAAACGACTCAGTCCGTGTCTCTCCCTCGTGGGGCTGATGGAGAAGTATAAACTGGGCTTAACTTATTTGGACACCCTGTGTCGGGATAGATGGATCCCCTAGTGGTGTCTCCTTATCCTATCCGAGCTCAGCTGAGTGTTATGTTCTTAAGTGTGTGTGTGTTTGGGAGAGCGGATTTGTGAAAGGGGGTTGTAGTGACCTAATTGTATGTCACTCAGCTGGGTGGAGGCAGAGAGGTGTTTTTGATGCACTTTAAAAAGTAACTCCAAACATCATCTTGCTTTGATGATCTTGATTATTGTACTTGTGCTGCCTTTATATTACGGTGCTGTTGCTTCAGAAGTACGAACATGAATCATGGTGGGGCGAGCGTTAAAAACCGTGAGCTCGCCCAACCACGCATGTTTAATTAGACCCGAAAGCACCTGTCAATACATCTTTATCGCTTGTGTCATATGTGGCCTCACCCATGTAATTCTATCAGGTAGTGCCGCCATCACCACAGGTGAAACAAGAAAGAAAGAAAGGGCTCCCTACAGGGGTCCGTGAATGGTCTGTATTTGTATAGCGCCTTCTTAAGCCTGATTTATGCTTCTCCGTCTGCGTCAGTACGGAGACACGCAACGCCATTATCCGCCCTTGCGTAGGGCTCCGGCAGGCACGCAAGTACGAACGGAGTCGAGCCCACTTTTTTAAACATCCGTCGAACAAGACGGATTACGCAAGCTTGTGATTGGTCAGGACGCCGCTGTTTACAGCGCCGCCATTGCAAAGAGAGCCGAGGTTAACTAGCGGCAGACACGGAGAAGCTTGAAGAATACCTCGCGAAAAAACTCTAAAAATATGAACGTTTTATCCTCCCGTGACTGGAGGAGTGAAAAGATGCGCAGCAAGCGTTTTATTTGTGGACGGAAATGACAGGAAACGTGGGTTTAGAGGTGGGGAGCGCATGAAGCGGTGGGAGAGTGAGAGACAAATATGTACGTGTTAAAAGTCTCTTATATACACAAAAACACAATACAAACACACTATCTTGGACCGATACATGACAGGATACCACAGAACAGCGCTACGCCCTCTGTTGTCCTGCCGGGCCATTGCTTTGCAACACTCTCCAGGAGACGGAGAAGTATGAGAGCAAAACGCTTCCGTCAATCCGTGCGTGTCTGTCCCTTGCGGAGCTGACGGAGAAGCATAAACCAGACTTAAGGGTTCTACAACCCCCCAAGGCTCTTCACAATCACTCATTCACACACACATTCATATGCTGGCGGTGATGAGCTACGATGTAACCACAGCTGCCCTGGGGCGCTCTGACAGAGCCGAGGCCTGCCGAGCACAGGCGCAACCGGTCCCCCCGGCCACCTCCAGCAGCCAAGGCGGGTTTAGTGTCTTGCCCAAGGACACAACAGCAGAATTCTCTGGTGGATTGCACCTACAACCTTGTGATTACTGAGCAACCGGCTCTACCTCCTGAGCTACTGCTGTCCCTGTGTTAATTAGTTTCATTGCTTTTATTTTTGTGGGGAAATGATATAAATGTGGGGTCATCTTATTCTGTAAAGCACTTTGAGTCACACTTTATGTATGAAAAGCGCTTTATTAATAAAGTTTTGATGGATTGATGATGATCATTCATGAGTGCTGCTGCTCTGATGGGATGGTTGTGTGATTAAAGCTGAAATGGCAAATTAGCTTAAAACATCTTTTCATGCCTCCTAACAACGTTCTAACATAGTTTAAAGAAGAGCAGTTCTCTCGCATTTGTCTAAAAACCTCCACCAATCACACGTTTCAGACTATGCCACGGTACCCGGTGTAGCGGTAAACCCCGGTAAAACGTAGACAATCATAACGTCTTGTTTTTTTAAATATAGGGTCACCGTGGCTGCACTGCAGGCGCGGTGACCCTCACCAGCCACCGTCTCATCTGCTGAAGTTGCTGCATGCACACTTTGTAGTTTACAACCCAAACTCTTAGAGGTGCTGAAAAAAATCTATTCAAGTCTGAATCGGGATTCTTATTTATAAAGATTCAGAATCGATTCACAAAGGTTCAGAATCGATTCTAAGAACTCAAATATTTGGCATGTTACGGGTTTGAGATGCACTTTTTTGATATTTGTTAGGAGAGTCAGTACTCCGTTTAGTTTTGTGGTCCCATAAATTGAGAAAATGTATGTTTGAGTCTGATGATAAGAGGGCACTAGAATGTAATTTTTTCCATACTCAGAAATTTGAGATATTCTCATATTTATTTTTCTAAGTTGATAAATGAGTACTCAGGATTACTCATGTAACTTGTTTCTACACATACTTGAAAAGTATTTGAGCGTATTACTTTCAAAGCTACTGTTAGGTAACAACAGATTTGTTATATTTTACAAGGTAAGCAAAAATAAATGTTGCCTTTTGGTCAAAAGATTGCTTCTGTTTACAGTTTTAGAATCACTTTAGTTCACCTTGTAAATTTGCATTTTTTGAGCATGACCAGTTTAAAGTAAAATAAAAATGTCCCATAGCTTTAACTAACTTGTTCAACAAAGTAGTTCATCCTAGAACTGACACTCTTTGTTAATACTGATTGTGAATCGATTTAAATTGAGAATCGAGAATGGATTCTGAATCAAATCGGCACCCCAAGAATCGGAATCGAATCAAATGGTGACTTGCTCTAAGATTCACATCCCTACAATCTCTCCTGAAGCTGAAATAATGGCTGTAGGAGGAGATGACAGCGCTCAGGACATCCATCAGCCATCAAAGAAGATAAAGTCAGACATATGGGCATATTTAGGATATTTGAGGAAACTGAGGGACAGTTGATGGAAGACGGCTTTCCTGCTTGCAGCACGTGCAGAAAAATTGTCTGTGAAAGGCAGCAACGCTTTGAATCTCATGACACATCTGCATGACCATCACCCACAACCCTACACTCAATGCAAGGCTAGTTAACGTTAGCGCTTCAGCTAAAATGCCAGATGTGAGGACTTGGGGTTGAGGGACAATGTAGCTGCAGCGCCCACTGCCCACATATAAACTGTGTCGCCTACACCCCCATACTGAAATGATGCTATGCATTATGGGGCTCCCAGGGGCAAATAAGAGCTGGTCTCTCTCCGCATCATGAATTTAACAATGATTACTGCCTGATGACATTTTCCCACATCTGCAAAGCTCACTGGAAGGACACCTATCCTGATATAGAGGGTTTATTTTAGCCTGGCCAGCCAGACTCGTCCGCGGTTTAATTCTACACACCGAACGCGCCATAAGGGACGGGCTGGCCCGGCGAGGTTTATGTAGTTGTCTGAAGATAGAACACGTTTCTGGTGCTGTAATTAGTACATGTAGTACCCTAAAAACAACCAGCAACACATCTTTATCAGGAAATAATAAATAGGAGTGGGATGTCCCACTGAGGGAAACAGTTTAGGTGTCCCTGATCTATCGGTGGGGCTGCGTAGAGCAGCCGCCAACTGTACTCAAGTAACAGCAGCCCACTTAGTAAAAGTAGCTGTCCAAGAAATTACTCAAGTAAGGATAAAAAAAAGTATCTGATTAGAAGGCTACTTGAGTACTGAGGATCATCTGATCTCATATTTTTTAAATGATGACATCAAACAGCCAAAAAAAGAATTTATGGAAAATTTAGGTATTTTAAAGACTAAAGGGAAAAATGTAAACAAATAAACAACATGGTTACAAAATAACTAATTTAGACAAACGGAGGACAACATTTTCTGATATAGAGGAAAACCATGGTGATTTTGGACAACGTGACAACTCTATTTCAGACCAAAACCAACTATTGGACCACCGGTTGTCGGTCTCACCGACCCACCGCCCCTCCCCGGGTCCTCCACTCATCACACACTCACGTGTTCAGCAGCAGAACACCACTGGTGTGAGAGCTTCTCCGCTCAGTCACATTGGAGAAGGAGAAGCTGATGATAAATGTGCCACACTTGTGTAGCACCTCTCTGAGTCAGAGGACTCCAAAGCGCTTTACACCACAGACGTGCACATCTGCGACAGAAGTCACGTGTCTGCAGCTTTCTGCGTAGTTCAGAGGGGGGAGTCGTACCAGCGTATTTAGATGCCAAATTCCATACTTGCTATGAAAAATGTGTACAGGTTGGCAGGTCTGCATGACCTACTGTATCAAAAGCCGCTTTTAAGTCCAGAAGAACTAAAACCACAGCAAGCCCTGAATCAGTGGCAAGAAGGACATCATTAAAAACTCAACAGAGCAGATTCAAAGTGGTGAAGGGGTTTAAAACCTGACTGAAAAAACTCCAGATCCTTGTTTTCATCCAGAAAGGATCTTAACTGGCCATAAACAGCTTTCTCCAAACCTTTTGATAAACAAGGAAGCTCGGAGGTAGATGTACAATTGGATAGCAGTAGGGTACGAGCCAGACGGTACTACAGCATGTTTAAACGTGCTAGGAACCACACTCGACTCCAGGCTGCGGTTTACAACAGCTAGGACAGATGGGCACTTATTTATGAAGCCGAGGTGGAACAACGGGGGAACCAGACGGTTTTAAATGATCAATAATCTCACCAAGAGAAGCTACAGTCACTGGAACTGATGAAAGATAGCCGACGAAGTAACCAGAATATCTCCAACTGATGGAGTGATCATCACCAACACCATCACTCTGAGGAGCATTCAACATGGCCTCCACAGAAGGAAATAAGACACGAGGCTTATTACAGTTTGATAAAAGTCATCTCGAGAAGAAAACCCTGCTTGCGTTTTTAGCCGTAGCCTGGTGGTGATCTTGGCATCCTTGGGAGCTGCTGCTTTATCCCAGCTGTTTTCTGGACTACTTTAATAAACCTCAGGGCAACATGTGGTTCTGTCACAGGAAAGATCACAATGTACTCTCCCTAGTGTGTGTGTGTGTGTGTGAGCTACCTGGTCCCAGCCCCACAGGTGTGGTCTGGGCTGAGAGAACCTCAGAAGATCTAAAGATGTCTCTCTGATGACCTGAGGGTTCAGCAGTCTGAACCTTGAGGGCTCCAGAGGAACTTCATTTGGAACTTTCTGCCAGAAGAAGATCCAGTCCCACAAAGGCTGCAAAACAGACACACACACAAGCGTGATGACCACAGAGAACACCCTTATGATAACATGCTGCTGGCATGTCACCAGATACCACTGTGGATCCCTCTGTAGGACGGCAGAAGCAGCAAACTGTTACAAACTCATCGTGCTTATCGTTTACCCAGAACCATCAAAATAAATTACACGTGTACGCTACTGGAGAACGTCAAACACAAGGGGCTGGTGCCAGGATCTCTGTAGACAGCAATAACAGCTGCATCCGTCCTCGGAGGAACCCAGACCTGATCACTCACCACAGGCAGCTTGTTGATCATTGCAGAGATCCAGCTGAGGTCCACTTCTTTATACGCCACAGCTACAAAAACCACACGTGGGTCCTTGTCAGCCCAGCGTAGTGGCGTGCCCTCTGGGTAGCTCATCCTGATGCTAGTTTGATTCCCAACATCAGCGCTGAAATCTCCTAGAGGGCCACTGTTTAACCTAACACACACACACACACACTTAGAGATAAAGTCTTTATTCCTCAGAGTCTTGTCTGTACTAATGCAAACACACCACTGACCGGATTATAGTATCGAAGCGATCAATCAGCGGCCCAAGCTCCAGGCCTTTGAGGATGCCCCCATTCCCTACGACCACACAGCGACGGCACTGATCCGATGACCTCTCCAACAGGGGCTCAGAGTCTGGAGCTGGCAGCTGGGAAGACAAAGACCAGATGCTGAGGAAACATGGTGTAGGACCCATGTGGTAGCCCGGTTACACGTGTGGGCTGGAACGTTACATCCCTTACTAGTCCCTACGGTAAAGTACAGGGAAGTCATTACACGTATAAGCAGCTGGAACCAGATGTAGCTTTTCAGCAGAAAACACACATATGTTCAGCAGATGAACCACACTAAGAAAAAATGGTCTGGTCAGGTATTTCACGAACCTCTTGGATCAAAATCAAGGGGGCTGCTACTATCATTGGTAATCATGTACACTTTAATGCTTCTCGTGTGGATAAAGACTACAGGGCGTTATGCAATTGTTGCTCACACTTCCGGCTGTCGTAATTTCGATGTATGCACCAAATTAGGATGATTTCACTTTCTTCGCTAGGTTGTTTACTCTGTGACCTGACCTTTCTGGACATTACCTCAGAATGGGTGGAAACACTAACTCTGTGCTCTCCTCATTGGACCCGAGTGTGACTGGACAACTGACTCAAGTCGACTCAAAAATTCTTGGACTCATATGGGGCGGTTGATGTGTGGCTTTTCCAGAAACCTACCTTTTGGGTGTACCCTTTACGCCGGGGACACACCGGCCGCGGAAGCGCCGCGAAGCGCCGAGAAGCGAATCGCTCACGAAATTCGGCCGCTGCTCGCCGCTCCTCAGTTCAGATCAGACGCGCCCCAGTCGAGGCGCGCCTCGGCTCAGCTGTAGTTTTTCTTTTAAACACTTGGTGTCCTCCATTTCCTCTCTGCCTTTTCTCAGCTCTTTTCCTACGTTTGAGTGTTTGTGCGCGTGCGTGCGCGCGCGTGTGTGTGTGTGAACCTATGGTATGAGTTGTTTCTGCCAGTTGAATCTCTTGGAACCCGCTCCAATTCTGCAGCTGTATCCTAGCAGTTTCTTCCGACATGGGTACGTAAACAATCATGTTTTTCGGGGGTCGTACAGCTCCTTGTGTTTCTCAACTTCCATAATTAATTTAAAGTCATCCATCTTAACTGCTTGCCTCAGACTTTCTGCCTCTCTGTCCTGTTTGCTCCGGTGAAAAGACACCCAAAACCACTCCCCCCTTCACGTGGTCACACACGCACACAAGTTCGATGTGTGTGTATGTGTGTGCGTGTTCGTGTGGTTTCTCTGCAGTGTCTGTTTACGAACACATTTGACTATTGCGGAATTTTATTTTGAAATGCTTTATTTTGTTAACTTTACCGGCCTGCCTCTTATGTCTACGTTTGACTTCCTGCCAGAATTGACGCGATTCACCCGCGGCTCGCGAAAAAAATAGAGCCAACGCCGAAATGATCGCTGCACGGCGCGGGCTGGAGCGCCGGCGCGCGCCGGCGCGAGGCGATTCGCGACGCTTCGGCGGCCCATGTGGTCTATAGAATAGCTTAACAAGGGCGCCGAATGAAGGCGGTCCCATTTTCGCGGCGCTTCGCGGCGCTTCCGCGGCCAGTGTGTCCCCGGCCTTACTGTTAAGACTTTTTCAAAAGTTTTTTTTGTTTTTTGCAGACGCTAGAAAATTAGAAACAAGAGAAAATGAGCAGCCAAAAAGACGACCAGTCACTGCTTGACATGCATGATGAAATCTGGAGGAGAATGGGATCATGCAACAGCAGGCAGCCCTGACCAGCCACACGAGTGTACAGGTAGTATTGTTATTAACCATGTCTCCATTGTGTAATGATTTTAAATGTTTCAACTTTTTGTAATTGCATTCAATTACTAAAATATATTTATTTTAGATTACAAAGGAAAAAGCTGGATCTTAGAGTATATTTGTTTACATCTCGTACCTTTTTGTGGCCTTAAGCTTTGTCATCCGCTATAAGCAAAGTTCAGGAATGGATGATTGCTGGTAATTCTTTCACACATTCACACTGATGCAACTGTCTACTTTTCTGTAGGTGCATAGTTAACCTGAGTGTGACCCTCTTCCCAAGGAATGAAAGCCCTTTGCTGTACTGGAAAAGCTTTCAAGCCCTGGCCAAGGCAAGCTCCAAGTACAGTGAACGTCTCTTTTCTGCTGCATCACACATTGTGGATGAAGAGAGAAACAGGATTCAGTGTGAGAAAGCAGAGAAACTTCTCTTTGTCAAAAAAATCTGCCTTTGTCAATGGAGGAAGCCTAGACCACAACCTGCGTTGTCAGGAGGAAACACTTTCCATGTTTGATACTTTTATTTTACACTTTACACTTACAAGTTGACATTGTCCTTGTGTCCCAGGTCTTATATTTTGGTTAACAATGTTATAGCAGGGACTGATTTTCTGTCGTTATGTCTGCCTGTGGAAACACTTTTCCAGTGTTGGGATATTTTCTGTCCTGAATATTTGTTACTTCCCATGGGCTCACCACTTGTGGGAGGGGCCCAAGGGGTTGGGTGCAATGCGAGATGGGTGGCGGCCGAAGGCAGGGACCGTGGCGGTCTGATCCTCGGCTACAAAAGCTGACTCTTGGTATGCGAAATGTCATCTCTCTGGTGGGAGAGGAGCCCGAGTTGGTGTGCAAGGTTGAGAGGTTCCGACTACAGTCATGGCCAAAAGTTTTGAGAATGACACAAATATTAGTTTTCACAAAGTTTGTTGCTGAACTGCTTTTAGATCTTTGTTTCAGGTGTTTCTGTGATGTACTGAAATATGATTACAAGCACTTCATATGTTTCAAAGGCTTTTATCAACAATTACATGACATTTATGCAAAGAGTCAGTCTTTGCAGTGTTGGCCCTTCTTTTTCAGGACCTCTGCAATTCCACTGGGCATGCTCTCAATCAGCTTCTGGGCCAAATCCTGACTGATAGCAACTCATTCTTTCATTATCACTCCTTAGAGTTTGTCAGAATTAGTGGGTTTTTGTTGGTCCTCCCACCTCTTGAGGATTTACCACAAGTTCTCAATGGGATTAAGATCTGGGGAGTTTCCAGGCCATGGACCCAAACTTTCAACATTTTGGTCCCCAAGCCAAGCCTTTGAACTTCCGCTTCCGGTCGGCAACAAGATGGCGCCTGTGCTTGGCTTAGCCGTAGTCTCCGGCCACATTTTCAAACTTTTCTCCACTAACCTCCTCTTTTCCACCTTGCTCCTGTCTGCGATCCTCTTCAGTAGTGTCTCTGCTACCATCTCCTATGATCGCCAGACTCTTTTGTCCTTCCGTTCGTTCATGATCGCCCAAGACGCACCAAGGACGTACCATCCTGTTTGTTTACCTGAGTGGCGCACTGGCCCAGAGCCAAACGACGGTCCCGAGCTGCACACCTCCAGCGATGTTTATCTAGTCCCGGAAAAAACATCGGAGGAAAAGAGGTAAACGAGCAGGAATCCAGGTGAGAATAAGACTGCTCTTAAAGCGTGGTTTATTTAGTAAACATTGGCATGATCTTCTAGCGTCTCTTCCTTTGTTTGGTGACCTGAGCACCACTTCCGCATTCCCGCCAGGCCGCGTTGAGGCGCGTTCATCCGTCCAAGTTTTTTAAGGTCGGTTTATCCTCATTCCTCAGTGGTTTGTCCTCCTGTTCCCTCCATAAGTGGTTTTTATAAACACCGTGAATCTAACCCTGCTAATTTACGTCCACTAACTCCAGCTGTTTCTGTAGTTTCTGATTCCTCCACCTCACTCAGCATGGCTCTATTAAATACCCGCTCTGTTAACAATAAGTCCTTCCTGCTCAATGATCTAATTCTCTCTAAAAACCTGGATTTTCTGTTTCTGACTGAAGTTTGGCAGCAAACATCTGATTATTCTGGTCTGATTGAACTCTGCCTGAGTGGTTATTCTTTTCTTAGCCAACCCCGGGGTTCTGGTTATGGTGGAGGCCTAGCTGTTGTTTTCAGAGACCATCTTTCATGTAGCTCTACAACCTCTGGTCGCTTTGCTTCCTTTGAACTGCAGCTGATTAAAGTTGGGCGTAAGGACCCGTTCTACTGTGCTGTGGTCTATCGTCCACCTGGTCCAAACAGTTCTTTCCTTCAGGAGTTTAGTGACTTTCTATCCTCCACTCTGAAGCTGTCCAGACTGGTGATTGTTGGTGACTTTAACATCCACGTTGATGATCCCTCTGATCACTTTGCCATGAATTTCTCCAGGCTTATGGACTCCTTCGGCTTTACCCAGCATGTTTCTGGCCCCACACACACCAGGGGGCACACTCTAGACCTTGTTTTTACCCTGAGTCTAAATGCTGACAGTGTTTGTCCTGAGGACGTTTATATTTCTGATCACCATTGCATTTCCTTTACCTCGTCAGTTTCTGCGTCCCCACCTCCTGCTCGCCGTATGGTTAGTTCTCGTTTTCTTAATGAGAGCACAGCTAGCAATTTTTCTGCTGCTTTTGATCCACCCTGTTCTTCTGATAACGACCCAGATTCCTTAACTTCCCAGTTCAACAAGCACTGCCTCTCCATTGTGGACAACATCTGTCCTGTCAGAACCAGATCAGTTCCTGCAGTGAACCCTACTCCCTGGTTTAATGACAGCTTTCGCAGCCTGAAGCGCCAATGCAGAAAAATTGAGCGTTTGTGGAAGAAAACCCATCTCCACGTCCATCTGCTGCACCTAAAGGATCTTCTGACATCCTTTAACTCTGCAGTCAGAGACGCTAGGGTTTCCTATTTCTCCAACCTGGTGTCCCAGAGCAAAGGGAACCCCAAGGTGCTGTTTAACACCATCAGCAGCATTGTCTCTCCTGCCTGTCCTACAGCCCCCATCCACTCTGTTGCAGACTGTGAGAACTTTCTGTCTTTCTTTGTGGACAAAGTCAATAAGGTTAGATCTAGCATCTCTCCTTCAGCCTTATCGCCGCCTCTCCCGACTCCAACCAGGCCCATCATCCTAGATAGCTTTGCTCCTGTTTCTTTGCCTGAGTTAGCCAAACTAGTTAACTCTATCAAGACCTCTGCATGCCCCCTCGACATCTTCCCCTCATCTTTGTTTAAAAGTGCTTTTCAGTCCATCGGTCCCAGCGTGCTCTCTATAATTAAT